TTTCTTCAACAGATAGCTCCAACCAGCCCGTTATTGTGATGTCCCAGTTTTACAAATGTGTATAGATTTTGTAAATATAACGAATAGAGCCCTATTCCCAATCATAAGAACTATCTGCGAAAAGCGGAGTCGATCGTGTACTATTTCATAAAGAATTTTTTATAAAACACACACATAACAAACAAAATATTTAAAGACAAAAGTTATTGCGATTGACTTGTGGTTACATATGTAAATTAACAACTGATATATTTATAGCATATGTTATATTTGGGATTACACTTTGTTAGTAAAGTGAAGATTCTAGTACGTTTTGGGTTTCCATCCGGGTTTCGAACTCACACCCTCAGATGCAGGCAACTGATCGCCAGCACACAAAGTCAGCCGCCTAACCCGCTCAGCCAATGCAACTTCAGCAAAGTGTAATCCCAAATATAACATATGTTACATTTGACCACTTTCTAAATGGCATTGTGTAATGATATTTTTATGATGGTACTCTTTTAATATTGCACGAAAATCATTTCGCAATAGGACTGCAAAAAGAACTGTTCTGACTGTCAGTGTGGCTGGTTTGCATCTTTGGCGCAGATGGGTAGTTCGAATCCAGCGATCCTTTCGTGGCGCGGTTACAGGTGGACGGCCACTTCGGGGACGGTCTGCAAGGGCGGCGTTTTGCATCCAAACCGTCTCCACAGGCGGCTTATGATGTTCGTGTTCAACTGCTGTGCAACGTTGCGCTGGGGTGTTCCCGTTTCAAGCATTCCAATGGCTCGCCATCTTTCATTTTCAGTTAGCCGTGGCATAGAGAAAAAGCAAGCAGAGTCTTTCAAATTTGTGTTGTTCGAAACCATCGACGCCAAAACAATGATTTGGGTGACAATGATTCGAGGTTTAGAGCCACATTTTTAAAGGGCACGTTTTATACCATTTTCCACGGAGTTCTTGAAGTGAGTGAGTTAATATTTATCGTCACATCGGCAATACTTCAGCCATATCGTGACGAGAACATTTTATAATTATATTAAAGATGAATAAAGTTAGAAATTAAAAAACCTGTTGACGAAGAACAGTAAAACTACTAGTGTATCACAGATATCCATTTAAAACTAGCAATTAAATCTAAAATATTGGAACTATAAATGACAATACAATATAAAAACAGGCTGTACATTGCTTACGACTGAAGGTAGATCACCATACTAGGGACCATGGGGACTTACAGTACCGGAGTTCTTGAAACAACGAAAAACGTATGCCAAACACAAACTAGCGACAGGGCACTGTTTGGGTTATGGAGTAAGCGTTTTATAAAGAATATTAAAATAACTTATTTATACAAACAAATGTGTTGATCACACTTACGTGTGACTTTGGGTGTGCAAAAAAGAAACAACAAGGACTTGTATCGCGCTTGATTGATATGCGGTAATGCTGAAGTATTTATGGACATATACTATCCCATTGTGCATTGTAACATCTAACAATAAACATGCTATATGAATGTTCAAACCTCTCTCTCCTGAATTAGACTTTGTCTTATGGTCTTACAGATTTGTCTTCAACCATGAATGAGTGAGTGAGCTATTATTTAACGTCACATCGGCAATATTTCAGAAGGTAGATCACCATACTAGGGACCATTGGGACTTACAATACCTTTGGTCTTCAACCATTCCACGAAGGATCTGTCAAAGTATCCGAGAGTAACAGAAGCGCACGTTAAAGGAAAGTCTTTTCACAAACCAGCCTTTCCCATGACACGGGGTTAGTTGGCTTTGTATGGTATTGTTTATGTGCACACATGCCCCGCTAAGCCAGGAATAGTGTAATTAGCATGTGTGTAAAGGCTGTGCGTCAAGTTGATGGATCTGTCAACACCTTGAACTTCATGCAGCTAATGTTTGGTACATGGAGAAGTAGTCTTCACTCCTCCCGTGCTATTCTGGGGGTGTTCCTAATTATGGTAGAGTGGAATAGGTTTTTCTTGCCTTCAGTACACTTACTTGAAGTGGTGTGTCTTTGTCTTCCCCGCGGGCTTCGCGTTGGCTTACTGCTGAAGGCGGGACACAACATGGGACATGTACAATGAGGAGCGAAGAGTGTGCCATTGTGTCGGAGAATGAATGATTTTAAGTTTCAGGGAGTAAAAGAGTGTAAAGTTTGTAATGCTGTGTGTGGCGCTTTGACTGACTGTGACGTTGATTATTGAGTGTGTGACCGTGACTGACTGTGATGGTGACTGGTGTGTGTGTGTGTGACTTACTGTGATGGTGGGCACCCGTGAAGAGCCACCACCTCGTGTTGGGTGCTGGGTAATGCTAAGCGCTCTTCAACCCCCCGTTGTGGACCCGGGGATATATTTGGTCCACCAACCCCTTTGCCGTAGGTTGCGCCCCTGTGTCGGTGGAGGAAGGGAGTCTGGTGGTTGAGGGGACTGGTTCCAGGAACAGTGTTCCTTTGCCCAACACACCACTTCGCCCCTTACTTCACCTACACGGGTGGTAGAACTGGCCCGGTTCTATCAATCGGCTGGTCACGCCAAGCCCCGTGCTACATCTATGTACTATTGCACAAATGTTCTGAGAATTATTCCATGATATTTGTAAGTCTTGGCGAATTTTTTAACACAAAATTACAAATTTATAATTTCATGTATGTTTTTGCCTAGAGTCGTATGCATTGTCCTTGTGATACACCGTGGTGGGTGGGGAGCTCGGATGACGAACCTTGAAAAATTAACCATGGCTTACGAAACCCCCTTAAAAAAACCAAACGTCCACTGGACACTGATCCAGTTGATAATGATCAAAGACTGTCCACGTCCATTGAATACTGGCCACGATTTCGTGTTATTGAAACTGTTGACAAGACTCCATTGAAGTTGAACCCTTTTGCCATATCTAAGGGTATAGAGGGCATTGCTGGTGATGTCAAGAATATTATACATTTACGTTCCGGTGCTCTGTTGGTTTAGTGTGGGAAAAGGCAACAAGCCACCAACCTTATGAGTACAGAATCGTTTATCAGCGTTCCGGTCACCGTCACGGCTCATAAAACATTAAACACGAGCAAGGGAATCATCAGAGACCGTGATCGATTGTTTGCAGATATGTCGGAACTTGACATCGTCTCTGAGATGAAAGATCAAGGCGTACTCTATGTCAAACGTTTCACAACCCGGAAAAACGATGCTGTTATAAAAACAAATACCTACCTGTTTTCATTTTCGTCACCAAATGCTCCAAAATCTCTAAAGGCAGGATATTGTAACATCAATGTTGACACGTACATTCCGAACCGTCTAAGGTGCTTCAAATGTCAAAAGTTCGGTCATGGCCTAAATACTTGCACATTGTCTGTTGTATGTGCTCACTGTGATGAGAAGACACATACAACAGAAGATTGTGACAGTAATGTCAAAAAATGTACCAACTGTGAAGGGGATAATCCATCTTACTCTCAAAACTGTCCTGTTTGGAAACATCAAATGGAGATAATTACAATCAAATTTACCCAAAATATTATTTTTGCCGTTGCCAAAAAACTAGTTCAAAGCTCAGAGCATAAGGAGAGCTATGCTTCTATCATCAGAACACCGTCAGAAGCAACCACTAGAATAACAAAGTCATCTGCATGCTGTCAGACAAACTTGACCTGGGTTAAATCCGAATCTCCTCTGATATTCTCCCCAGCAATATCTACCCAAACAACAGAATCAGTTCCTAGTACGTCTCAAAGCCAATGTGAAACATCCTCTGATCATGACGCATCATCTCAGTCGACATCAAAGTCTACACAGCCCCTTAAAGGCAAAGGTAAGAAGCCAGATTCTTTGAAAATACTCAGTGGCAGAGCCCCAAAAGGGTCAGAAAATCAAATCAACTTATACAACAAATATGGTTCCCTTGAGGACATGGATGTGTCCGAAACTGTCCGTTCTATGGCGCACAGCTTGTCGCCCATAAAAAAGGTACGGGGAAGATCCCAAATAAATCCTCCCAAAAGATAGTTTATCACAATCATATAAAACAGTGGCGATATGGCTGAAATATTGCCGATGTGACGTTAAATATTAACTCACTCACTATTATACAGTGGAATTGTAGAGGACTGAGGACTAATTTCAGTGAATTACAACTTTTAGTCCAGGTTTAACACCATCAGCGTTCTGTCTGCAGGAGACCTAATTAAAACAGACAGATGCTTTTGTCCTGCGTTCTTTCAATGCATACCATTGTTTTTCACCTCTCGGTGACAGGGCCACTGGAGGATCTTCCATCCTAGTCAAACAGAATGTTATCCATAGCCCTGTTGCACTCACTACTAATCTTTAGGCTGTTGCAGTGCGACTAACTTTGCACGGTGCATTTACATTATGCTCTCTCTATATATCTCCGTCTTCAAGCTCTATATGACCAACTCCCAAAGCCCTGTATTATTATGGGAGATTTAAATGGGCACAACCCACTCTGGGGTAGTGCACATACAAACGCTAAAGGTAAATTAGCATATGACATATTGTAGACTATGATGGTGAACTGTGAGACATATTGTAGACTATGATGGTGAACTGTGAGACATATTGTAGACTATGATGATGAACTGTGAGACATATTGTAGACTATGATGGTGAACTGTGAGACATATTGTAGACTATGATGGTGAACTGTGAGACATATTGTAGACTTTATGTCACTACTAGAGTGAGTGAGTGAGTTAAAATTTAACGTCACCTCGGCAATATTTCAGCCATATATAATGACGAGACATGTTTTACATAAACAATAAATTTAAGTTGCTAAATAATCAGTCATCGAAGGACTGTAAAATAACTAGAGTATCACAGATGGAGTCTAAAACTAGCATGAACATGTAAAACTATTTTATTTACGAAGACAATACAATATAATAACGGGCTATAGATCGCCAACAACTGAAGGTAGATCACCATACTAGGAACCATGGGGACTTACAGTGCCTCTGCTACCTGCATGGTCCCTAGCTGGACTTACACCATCCCTTCAGCCATTGACGTTTATACTGGGATTTAGCCATACATTAATAACACAAAAATACTACGATTAAAACCCTGGTACACTTAAATTGACTAAATGTTTTGGGACTTACGTACCCTCTCAGGAGGACAATAATTTTACGCTACTTCAACCCCCTTTGAGGGTACAGCCACTAACAATCTCAGTTACTAATTTAAATTACCAATAATAAAATATTGACCTATTTACAAATCAGTTAACAAATCTAATTCTTTTAAAAATGCAATAATTAAATGAGAACTTATATTACTAAAAAGATCCTTCATAGTTTGTGATTTGAAATAGGTATCCCTTGTGATGGAATATTCAACACAGTCAAGCAAGACATGCTTGACCGTGATTCTTTAATCACAAGGGATACAAAACGGAGGATCCTCACCTATTAACAGGTATTCATGAGTAAATCTGGTATGACCAATACGACATCGTCGTATAATGACCTCTTCAAATCTGGACTGACAACACAAGTAAGTGTAGCCAATATAGGGTTTTATTTCATGTAATTCATTAATACCTTCTTGAGTGTCCCACTTCTTCTGCATCAGATCACGGATGTAAGTTCTAATGCTGGCTTTGTAATCAGAGTATGGAATAAGAAGTGGTGTCACAGATTTGTTGAGTGCTGCCTTGGCAGCAAGATCGGCCAAAGTATTCCAGAAATACCAACGTGTCTGGGTAACCAACAGAGGACGATGTCGTATTGGCCAGTGGCAAGATCATTATATAATTCTATTATTTCTAATAAAAGTGGATGTATATAAAGAAAGATTTTTAATATGTTTTAATGTTTTGAACCCAATGACAGTGGCACAAGCCACTGCGCCACCATCCTTGGACCCATCTGTAAATAAGGATTTATATGTATTATATTTACTTTTTAATTGATTATATTCTTGTTTATATTGTAAGTCATTTGTTTCCGATTTTTTAAATGTTGTAAGTGTTAAGTCGACTTCTGGTCTAACTAACTGCCAAGGAGGAGAAGAAAGAAGACGGGAAGGAGCTATATTTTCCAGCTCAATGCCGGCAGCAGCAATAAATGGCTTAATTCTGAGCCCAAGAGGCGGAACAAGAGAAGATTTTTTGTTGTACAAATCCTCAAAAAGAGGATTAAAGACACTGTGAAATGCAGGATTAGACTCGTTAGAATATAATTTTGTAATATATTGTAAAGATAATTTTATACGGCGTTGTGCAAGAGAAGGTTCATCTGCCTCGACGTACAGACTGTCAACAGGAGAAGTTCTGAATGACCCAAGACAAAGTCTCAGACCTTGATGGTGGACTGAATCTAAGAGTTTTAGGTTGCTTTTACAGGCTCCACCATATACGATGGAGCCATAATCAAGCTTCGAGCGGACAAGTGATCTGTAAAGGTGTAGGAGCGTAGCTTGATCCCCTCCCCACCTTGAATTAGACACGACTTTCAATAAATCGAGTGCCTTCAGGCAATAAGTTTTTAGAGATTTGATATGCGGAAGAAAAGGTAAATGGGAGTCGAAAATGAGACCTAAGAACTTGGCCTCTTTTACAACCTTGATAGGAGTGCCATTTAAAAAAGTTCTGGGTCTTTATTTGGTTTATATTTACGGCAGAAATGTATGCACTTAGTTTTTGATTTAGAAATTTAAAGCCGTTTTCAAGACACCATTTATGTATTTTATTTAATAGTATGCATATTCTTACCGCGACAAAAATGTTAAAATCATCCACAAAAAGTGATCCATCAATTGACTCGGTTAAAACCTTGGATAAGCTGTTGATCTTAATGCTAAATAAAGTGACAGACAAAATACACCCTTGGGGGACACCCTGGTCCTGATTATAATGGTGAGACAGGGTTGAACCCACTTGGACTTGAAATTGCCTGTCTTTTAAAAACTGTGATATAAAAAGAGGTAAACGACCCCTTAAACCAAAATCATGTAAATCCTTTAAAATGCCATGCTTCCAGGTGGTATCGTACGCTTTCTCGAGATCAAAGAATATCGATACTGCATATTGTTTATTTACTGTTGCATTTTTGACAAAGGATTCTAATCGCACCAAGTGATCAATGGTACTACGATTTTTCCTGAAACCACATTGAATATTTGTTATAAGGTTGTTGGTTTCAAGATACCAGGTTTCTCTGCTGTCGCCAATGGCTGAAGGGATGGTGTAAATCCAACTAGGGTCCATGCAGGTAGCAAAAGTAATGTAAGTCCCCATGGGCCTTAGTATGGTGATCTACCTTCAGTTGTTGGCGATCCATAGCCCATTTTTACATTGTAGTGTCTTCTTTAATTGGAATATTTTAGCTTTGTTCGCTAGTTTTATATTGATATCTGTGATTATCTAGTACTTTTACTGTCCTTCGTCGGCAGGTTTTTGTAATCTCTCTATATATTCTATTTCAATGTCAAGTGTTTTCGTCACGATATGGCTGAAATATTGCCGATGTGACGTTAAATAATAACTCACTCACTCACTCGGCAGGTTTTTTATAATAACTATATATATATTCTATTACAATGCCAAATGTTCTCGTCACGATATGGCTGAAATATTGCCGATGTGACGTTAAATAATAACTCACTCACTCACTCACTCAAGATACCAGGTTAATCTATTGTTTACCATTCGTTCCATGGTTTTACAGACACAACTCGTTAAAGAGATTGGTCTGTAATTTGATGGATCAGTATGATCCCGGCCAGGTTTTGGAATAGGGACAACAATGGCATTACGCCACGAAGGTGGGAAATTCCCTGAAGTCCATATTGTATCAAAAATATTTAGAAGTGTTTCCAAACATGATTCAGGTAAATGCTTCAAAAGCTGATAGTGTATATTATCAGCTTATGTTGTTGTATCATGAGCTTGCTCAAGGGAGGTATGTAGCTCATGTAGTGAAAACAATTCGTTATAGTCTTCACCACTGTCTGATTTAAAGTTGATTCTTTTCTTCTCCTTTCTGGTGTTTCTGAAATTCAGGAACATAATTGGATGAAGATGAATGTTTTGCGAGAGTTTCGCCAAGTTTGTTTGCAATATCGGTTTTATTAGTTAATATATTGTCACCATCCTTCAGATGGTGGACAGTAGATTTGGAACCTTTGCCCTTAATCCTTTGGATCATGTTCCACACCTTTGAAATCGGTGTGCGTGAATTTATTTTAGAAACATATTTCCTCCAAGACTGACGCTTATTCTGTTTAAATGTACGTCGAGCCGTGGCATTTAAAAATTTAACTTTATTTAAATTATGAACAGTAGGATGTCGCCGAAAATATTTTTTCAGCTTTTTTCCTGCTCTTTCTGGCCTGTTTACATTCATTATCAAACCATGGCTTACGAATATGTGGAACTGCAGAGGACTTTGGTATAGTTTGGTCAGCAATGTCATTGAGCATATCTGCAAACAACTGTATGGGATCTTCACTGTTCGCAAATGCATCATGTTTTAAGGTATCAGTACATAGTGTCTCATATAATGACCACACAGCCCTGGCAAAGTTCCTTCTTGATAAAGGTGGATCATCACCAGGGTTGATTGTTTTGAGAATGGTGGGGAAGTGATCACTCCCACATAGGTCATCATGGACCATCCATTCAAATACATTATATATGTTGGAATCGATGAGTGACAGATCCAGGGAAGAATATGTTCCCGTAGCTGGATGTAAATAAGTGGCTGAATCATCATTAAATATACATAAATTATTATCGGAAATGAATTCCTCAAGGATTTTTACCTTTAGTATTGATATGAACACTTCCCCAAAGCGGGTTGTGTCCGTTAAGATCGCCCATGATAACACATGGCTTAGGAAGTTGATCGTACAGATTTTGAAGATCCGCCTCACGGATATTAGAAGAGGGGAGGGGATATACAAGCTGCACAATGTCAGGGCAATGTGCAGAGTCAGGCGAACATCAACAGTTTGAAGATTCGTAGTTAGAGGGATAGGGCTATGTATAACACTCTGATGAATCAAAATAGAAGCGCCTCCAGTTGCTCGATGTCCCGGAGGAGAAAAAGAATGATAATCACTATAGTGTCTCAGATTAAAGCTATCTGTAGTTTTGAGATATGTCTCTTGGAGACAGAATTCTGACGGGTGGTGATCTTGTATCAGTAATTGTATCTCATTAAAATTATTCTTTAATCCTCTGCAATTCCACTGCAATAAAGTCGACAATTGAGTCATGGCGGCTCAATTGGAGATCGTTCACGTGAATGTGAGGAAAAGCTCCTCTGCCTGTCCTGAGAGGACAGAGTGACCTCCATATCAAGAGGTCCAAATGAATTTTGGAGAGGAACCTCCGGAGGTGAAGGGGCAGAATGTTGGTTTTTATTTAATTTTATTCCTTTCTTTTCCTTCTTTTTGGATTGATCAGCTGATTGGGAATTTGCTGGATGTGAAGCCGACGTTTGTGAAGTCTCAGGCTGAAGTTCAGTCTGAGACCCTGACGTAGACTGACTGACTGGGGAAGTAGATTTTAAAGAAGTAGTTTTTGTGGCTGAAGAGACAGGTTTTTCTGACTTGACCCATGTTGAGATAACCAGCTTTGATCGACTGCGGAAGGGACGATCTAGCAAAAGTAAATAAGTACGTATTGGTATTGGGGATTTTGACATCTTTTTTTAATGTAAAACGTTTCACGGCCGTAACGGCCTGATCCTCAAGCTCTTTACTCCTCTGACATGTCAGAGAGACAACGAGCACTGTCTCGTTTAATGCCACGGCATGAATTGAGAGTCCTGTGCACGGACACAGCAACCTCAACAGTAGCAAATGTTCTGATAGACAAAAGATTAAGAGATTGCTGTCTCCGTGCGCATTCCACCAGAAGTGAACCACTACGGAGACGGATTACATTTTTTACTTCCCCACATATCCCATGGATAGCTTTGGAAATAGCAAATGGGTTTAGTTTAATGGGTAAGTATTCAGAAGCTTCGATCACTTGAAATCTAGGCCAGGAATCAACGTTTGAAGAATTTGATTCAGTTGGACAAACAAGTTCGTCCAAACATCTCTTTTTTTCATAGCGAGATGAACCAGCTGGTTGGGGTAACATGTTGAAAGGAAAATTATTCAACACCCCTGCTCCCCACCCAACATGGAGTGTCAACAAGGACAGTGTCAAATGGCACCGGATATCCAAGATGCCGACACCAGGGATACAGGGGTGTTATACTCCAGCGAAAACGACACAAATAGCTGCATTTATCTACCAATCTAATGTCAGACTGGTTCAGCCCAAAACAATAAATTGGAGACATACATCATTTGGAGGTCTTTATCACCAGATTGGCCCATGAGCCACCGCCTTCTGGCATAGGACTCTAGGCAATTTAATATAATAATAATTTGTACATTCAGGATAAAAATATCCAAGGCCCAAAAATAAGTAAATGTGCAAATAATATATTCACCATGCACAGGGCTTGGCGTGACCAGCCGATTGATAGAACCGGGCCAGTTCTACCACCCGTCTAGGTGAAGTAAGGGGCGAAGTGGTGTGTTGGGCTAAAGGAACACGGTTCCAGGCTCCCAGTGCCCTCAACCACCAGACTCCCGTCCTCCACCGACACAAGGGCGCAACCCACGGCAAACGGGTTGGTGGACCAAATATACCCCTGGGTCAACAACGGGGGGTCGAAGAGCGCTTAGCGTTACCCAGCACCCACCACGAGGTGGTGGCTCTTCACGGGTGCCGTAAATTACTAGAGGAGTTTTGTTCAGATAATGATTTATGTATTTATAATGATGGTTCCAACACATATTTACACCCTGGTACAGGAACCTATTCTGCTCTCGACTTTTCAGTCACAAATTCAGAACTACTAAATGAATTTGAATGGTCAGTCCACGATGACCTCTGTGGAAGTGACCATTTTCCTACTATACTAAAACCTGTAACGCCATCTGATGTACCTCCATCACCAAGGCGGAATTTTAAAAAGGCTAACTGGGCTTTATATGAAACACTGTGTGCTACAAAACTGAAACTTATGCTATCAACTGTTTTTCTGATGAACTGAATACCATAGCTGATGAATGTATACCACAGTCCTCTGCAAATCCACATATCCGAAAACCATGGTTCAACGATGAGTGCAAACAAGCTAGGAAGGCAAGGAAAAAAGCAGAACATTATTTCCGTCGCCATCCTATAGTGCATAATTTAAATAAATTTAAAATGTCAAATGCTAAAGCGCGGCGTACCTTTAAACAGAATAAACGCCAATCTTGGCAAAATTATGCATCCAAAATAAATTCGCGAACGCCCATGTCCAAGGTATGGAACATGGTCCAGAAAATTAAAGGTAAAGGTACTAGATCTAGTGTCCATCATCTTAAACATGGAGATCAATTACTTACCAATAAATCAGATATTGCGAATCAACTAGGTGAAACTCTCGCTGAACACTTTTCCTCATCTAATTATGTGCCTAAATTCCAACAATATCAAAAACAACAAGAAAAGAAACTTATTAATTCAATTCAGATAATTGGGAAGATTATAATGCAACATTTTCTATTCATGAACTCCATACTGCTCTTGAGCAAGCTCACGATACTGTTACAGGTGCTGATAACATACATTATCAACTCCTGAAACACTTACCAGAATCATGTTTCGAGACGCTCTTACACATTTGTGATGATATTTGGACGTCAGGGAAATTTCCTCCCTCATGGCGTGACGCTATAGTAGTACCAATACCTAAACCTGGACGTGATCATACGGATCCATCCAATTATCAACCGATTTCACTAACAAGCTGTGTTTGCAAACCATGTAACGCATGATAAATAATCGACTTGTTTGGTACTTGGAAACTAATAACCTTATAACAGATATACAAAGTGGTTTCCGTAAAAACAGAAGTACTGTCGATCACCTAGTGCGTTTGGAATCATTTGTTAAAAACGCTCTAATCAATAAACAACACACTGTGTCTATCTTTTTTTATCTTGAAAAGACTTATGACACTACGTGGAAATATGGCATTTTAAGAGATTTACATGGCTTCGGATTGCGAGGCCGTTTGCCTCAATTTATAGCTAACTTTTTAAATGACAGACAATTTCAAGTCCGAATGGGTTCTACGCTGTCTGACCATTACAATCAGGATCAGGGTGTCCCACAAGGCAGTATTTTGTCTGTGACTTTATTTAGTATCAAGATCAACAGTTTATCCAAGGTTTTAAACGATTCAATTGATGGATGATTTAAATATTTCTTGTCGCGGTAAAAATATGCATACTATTGAACGGCAACTGCAGTTGTGTTTAAACAAGATGAATAAATGGTGTCTTGAAAACGTCTTTAGATTTTCTAAATCCAAAACTAATTGTATACATTTCTGCCGTAAATACAAACCGCATAAAGACCCTGAACTATCTCTAAGTTGCACACCCATCAAAGTTGTGAGGGAGGCCAAGTTCTTGGTATTATTTTTTACTCACACTTAAACGTTTTTACCACATATTAAATCCCTTAAAACTAAATGCTTGAAGGCACTTGACTTGTTGAAAGTCGTTTCCAATTCTAAGTAGGGAGGGGATCAAGCCACCCTCCTACATCTATATCGATCCCTGGTACGTTCCAAACTTGATTATGGTTCCATCGTTTATGGTGGGGCCTGCAAACGCAACCTAAAACTATTAGATTATGTCCACCACCAAGGTCTAAGACTTTGTCTTGGGTCCTTTAGAACCTCTCCTGTTGACAGTCTCTACGTCGAGGCAGATGAACCATCTCTTACACAACGCCGTATAAAATTATCCTTGCAGTATGTAACAAAACTATATTCTAACGAGTCAAATCCTGCATTTAACTGTGTTTTTTATCCTCTTTATGAGGATCTGTACAACAAAAAGCCTTCTCTTGTTCCGCCTCTTGGTTTGAGAATTAAACCATTCATTTCTGCTGCCGGCATTGAGCTGGAAAACATATCTCCTTCCCGTCTTCTTTCTTCTCCTCCTTGGCAACTGGTGAGGCCTGAAGTTGACCTAACTCTGACAAAGTTTAAGAAATCTGTAACTAATGAATTACAATATAAACAAGAATATAATCAATTAAAAGATAAATATAATACATACAAATCCTTATTTACAGATGGATCCAAGGATGGTGGCGCGCTGGCATGTGCCACTGTCATTGGATCCAGAACAATATATTCTCGACTACCAAAAAACAACTCTATTTTCACAGCAGAAGCTAACGCCATATTCACAGCTTTTAACTATATTAATAAACACCGTAAATATAAACAATACATAATATTTTCCGATTCTCATTCATGTCTTCAGGCTATTAAAAATCTTTCTTGTAAACATCCACTTTTAATATAAATTATTGAATTGTATAATGAGCTTGCAACTGGCCAATGCGACATCATCTTTTGTTGGTTACCCAGCCACGTTGGGATTTCTGGGAACACAATGGCCGATCTTGCTGCTAAGGCAGCACTCAACAAATCTGTGACACCACTTCTGATACCATACTCTGATTACAAAGCTGCTATTAGATCTTATATCCGTGATCTGATGCAAAAGAAATGTGACAGCCAAGTAGGTATCAATAAATTACATGCAATAAAACCAACTATCGGTTACACCTACTTGGGTTGTCAGTCCAGATTTGAAGAGGTCATCATACGACGATGTCGTATTGGCCACACAAGATATACGCATGAGTACCTATTAAAAGGTGAGGATCCTCCGTTTTGTATCCCTTGTGATTAAAGAATCACGGTCAAGCATGTCCTGCTTGACTGTGTTGAATATTCCATCACAAGGGATATCTATTGCAAATCACAAACTATGAAGGATCTTTTTAGTAATATAAGTTCTCATTTAATTATTGCATTTTTAACAGAATTAGACTTGTTAACCGATTTGTAAATAGATATATATTTTATTATTGGTTGGTTAGATTAGTAACTGAGATTGTTAGTTGCTGTACCCTCAAAGGGTGTTGAAGTAGCGTAAAATTATTGTCCTCTTGAGAGGGTACATAAGTCCCGAAACATTCAAAGGAAATTTAAATTTACCAGTTGTTTTAAATGTAGTATTCTTGTCATTTTAATTTTGGCTAAATTTGACTTCAATCGCCAGAGGTTGAAGGGATGATATAAATCCAGCTAGGGTCCATGCAGGTAGCAAAAGTAATGTAAGTCCCCCTGGTCCCTAGTTTGGTGATCTACCTTCAGTTGTTGGCGATCTATAGCCAGTTTATATATTGTATTATCCAAATAGTGCTATTAGTTTTAATTTTCCACACATATTTAGTTGTCATTGTGATATTCTAGTTGTTTTACTGTCCTTCGTCGACAGGTTTTTATAATATACATCTATTCCATTTCAATGTCACATATGTTCTCGTCACGATATGGCTGAAATATTGCCGATGTGACGTTAAATAATAACTCACTCACTCACTGTGATGGTGATTGTTACGTGTGTGACTGTGACTGATTGTGATGGTGATGGTTGTGACTGTGACTGACTGTGATGGTGATTGCTGTGTGTGTGATTGTGATGGTGATGGCTGTGTGTGTGACTGACTGTGATGGTGATTGCAGTGTGTGTAATTGTGATGGTGATTGTTTTGTGTGTGACTGTGACTGACTGTGATGGTGATTGTTGCATTTGTGAATGACTGTGCTGGTGAATGCTTTGTGTGTGTGACTGACTGTGATGGTTGATGGTGTGTGTATGACTGACTGTGATGGTGAATGGTGTGTTTGACTCACTGTGATGGTGCTTGTTGCCTGTGTGACTGACTGTGATGGTGATTGTTGCCTGTGTGACTGACTGTGGTGGTGATTGTTGTGTGTGTGATTGACTGTGCTGGTGATTGTTGTGTGTGTGATTGTGATGGTGATTGTTGCCTGAGTGACTGACTGTGATGGTGATTGTTGCGTGTGTGACTGATTGTATTGGTGATTGTTGTGTGTGTGACTGTGACTGACTGTGATGGTGATTGTTGCCTGTGTGACTGACTGTGATGGTGATTGTTGCGCGTGTGACTGATTTTGATGGTGATTGTTGTGTGTGACTGACTATGATGGTGATTGTTGTGTGTGACTGACTGTGATGGTGAATGGTGTGTGTGTGTATGTGTGTGTGACTTATTGTGATGGTGACTGTTGTGTGTGACTGTGACTGGCTGTGATGGTAATTGTTGTGTGTGACTGTGACTGGCTGTGACCGTGAGTGTTGCCTGTGTGACTGACTGTGATGGTGAATGGTGTGTGTGTGTCTGACTGATGGTGATTGTTGCCTGTGTGACTGACAGTGATGGTGATCGCTGTGTGTGTGATTGTGATGGTGAATGTTGTGTGTGTGACTGTGAATGTGACTGACTGTGATGGTGATTGTTGCCTGTGTGACTGACAGTGATGGTGAAAGCTGTGTGTGTAATTGTGATGGTGATTGTTGTGTGTGACTGTGACAGTGACTGGCTGTCATGTCGATTGTTGTGTGTGAATGGGACTGACTGTGATGGTGATTGTTGTGTGTGTGACTGTGACTGGCTGTGATGGTGATGGTTGTGTGTGACTGTGACTGATTGTGATATGGTGATTGTTGTGTGTGACTGTGATTAACTGTGATGGTGATTGTTATGTGTGACTGTGAGTGACTGTGATGTCGATTTTTATGTGTGTGACTATTACTGACTGTGATGGTGAATGTTGTGTGTGACTGTGACTGATTGTGATATGGTGATTGTTGTGTGTGACTGTGATGATGACTGTTGTGTGTGACTGTGACTGACAGTGATGGTGAAAGCTGTGTGTGTAATTGTGATTGTGATTGTTGTGTGTGACTGTGACAGTGACTGGCTGTCATGGTGATTGTTGTGTGTGAATGGGACTGACTGTGATGGTGATTGTTGTGTGTGTGACTGTGACTGGCTGTGATGGTGATGGTTGTGTGTGACTGTGACTGATTGTGATATGGTGATTGTTGTGTGTGACTGTGATTAACTGTGATGGTGATTGTTATGTGTGACTGTGAGTGACTGTGATGTCGATTTTTATGTGTGTGACTGTTACTGACTGTGATGGTGAATGTTGTGTGTGACTGTGACTGATTGTGATATGGTGATTGTTGTGTGTGACTGTGATGATGACTGTTGTGTGTGACTGTGACTGACTGTGATGGTGATTGTTGTGTGTGACTGACTGATTGTGGTATGGTGATTGGTGTGTGTGATCGTGAGTTACTGTGATGGTGATTGTTGTGTGTAATTTTGCCTGATTGTGATGGTGATTGTTGCGTGTGTGAACGTGACTGACTGTGATTGTTGCGTGTGTGACTGTGACTGACTGTGATTGTTGTGTGTGCCATGTTATGAATATTAGATATTTTAGTTTTGGTGTATGTGTTAGTGAGACATCAATGAATAATATCAGACAACTGTCAAAGGAATGGTTATCAAAATGTGGCTCGACGGCTGTATCCAGTACTTCCTGTTGACGTCTATGACCATTGAGTGTCCCAGGTAGTGTAATGAGATCACACTTGCAGTCATACGAAATGAAATCATCATCACACATCACACTAACACTGAGCAATGTGTTCAGATGCATGGCTTATCATCATACGCGACAACGGCCGTCCGTAACGTATAGATGATAGCCACCTTCATCAAAACCAATGAATACTACGCCAGGGCCCCGTTTCACAAAGCTCTCGTAGCGCTACGACTATCGTAAGTCAATGCTACAGTATAGGAGGTAGGAATGCTACGAGGAAAGTTACGAGATCTTAGGCTCACGAGAGCTTTGTGAGGCGGGGCCCATGAGCCCAAGTTGAGTTTTTCTTGGAGCCAGCCTCAAGACAGACGTTCCTACCTGTCCCGATCTTTGAGGAAGGCACGTCTGAGCGTACGAATCCTCCTTCTTATGGTATGTGCGGAGAGTCGAACCAAACGTCCCAACAGCCGGCGCAGTTCTCAGGCATGATTTCGACTTGCGAGACGAATTGGGACTCGGGCATCGCGGTGTTTTATGTCTTTCCCTGTCATCCAGGACTTCACCAGTGACAAAGTTCAACTAATAACTGTGCTGTTAAAGTTCAAGAGCACGGAATCTTTGCAGCAGCTGAACATTCAACTTCGGAGATAATGTGTAAAGGGCATGCATTGAATGTTTGCCAGTATGCTGGGTTCTTCGTCTATTTTAGAAACTAAAACAAACCATTTTTTTACAAGCTCGACTGTTATTGTGAGCCCGGAAGCTCTTTCTTGTTCCTCTGCTTACCATCATCGTTCCAGAATTAAACATTACATTAAGCAATTACTTCTCAGCTTCCCATACACTCTTCGCAAACTTCTATCTTTGACAACTGATTTATTTCATCATCACTCGCGAATAAACTTTATGTGATGCGTTAGCCCAGGTGATACCTTTACAGACGATATTTAATGTGGAGGTTGTAGGACGTGTTTCAAATCCGTTCCAATCGTTCAGTCAACTATACAATACATGATGTATGTAATAATGTGGAAGCAGCGATTTTCATGCACATGTGTAAATGTACTCGGTACGGTAGACTCTTCAAAAACTAGGATTATAGCTCGTATGTAAGTGAGTGAGTGAGTGAGTCACCTCGGCAATATTTCAGCCATATAGTGACGAGAAATGTTTTACATAAACAATAAATTAAAGTTGCTAAATAGTCAGTCATCGAAGGACTGTAAAATAACTAGAGTATCACAGATGGAGTCTAAAACTAGCATGAACATGTAAAACTATTTTATTTACGAAGACAATACAATATAAAAACGGGCTATAGATCGCCAACAACTGAAGGTAGATAACAATACTAGGAACCATGTGGACTTACAGTGCTTACAGCAGCTGGCGATTGAAGGACAAGTTTAGTCAAAATTTAAATGAACAAATATACTACGTTTAAAAATCGGGTAAGCAAAAAAGTGAACTTTGGAAGTTTTGGGACTTACGTACCCTCTCAGGAAGACAATAATTTTACGCTACTTCAACCCCCTTTGAGGGTACAGCCACTAACAATCTCAGTTACCAATCTAAACTACCAATAATAAAATATGTATCTATTTACAAATCAGTTAACAAGTCTAATTTTTTTTTAAATGCAATAATTAAATAGTTTGGGATTTGAAATAGATATCCCTTGTGATGGAATATTCAACACAGTCAAGTAGGACATGCTTGACCGTGATTCTTTCATCACAAGGGATACAAAACGGAGGATCCTCACCTTTTAATAGGTATTCGTGAGTATATCTTGTATGACCAATACCCACTACGACATCGTCGTATGATGACCCTTTTCAAATCTGGACTGACAACCCAAGTAGGTGTAACCGATAGTTGGTTTTATTGCATGTAATTTATTAATACCTACTTGGGCGTCCCACTTCTTTTTGCGTCAGATCACGGATATAAACTCTAATAGCAGCTTTGTAATCAGAGTATGGGATAAGAAGTGGTGTCACAGATTTGTTGAGTGCTGCCTTAGCAGCAAAATCAGCCATTGTGTTCCCAGAAATGCCAACATGGCTGGGTAACCAACAAAAGACGATGTCGCATTGGCCAGTAGCAAACTCATTATACAATTCAATAATTTCTAATAAAAGTGGATGCTTAGAAGAAAGATTTTTAATGGCCTGAAGGCAAGAAAGAGAATCGGAAAAGATTATGTATTGTTTATATTTACGGTGTTTATTAATATATTTAAGAGCTGTGAATATGGCGTTAGCTTCTGCTGTGAAAATTGAACTGTCATTAGGTAATCTGGAAGATATTGTTTTGGACCCAATGACAGTGGCACAAGCAACTGTGCCACCATCCTTGGACCAATCTGTAAATAAGGATTTTTATTACCCACGTGGTCAACGTATGGGTAGTTGCATACTAATCTCGTACGTCACACGTGTGTCGTATCGCGTTGACCTATGTCGTAACGACTTGACCTGAGATTCTAACGATTTGATTGGATAACCGATGACCTCTCAATTAGGTCACATTCTGACGTAACTATATTTTCATTCATAACAAACACGTGAATTCATTCATTCTACATCTTAAATGCATTGTGGGAATGTAAGCATCGAGAACGTTGCCGGGTCGCTGTTTAATTGTGAGTCGAACTGATACATTATATCCGTCGAAAAACATAAGCGCAATGTTTCCACCAGTGATGTTAGCCAAATGAAGCAACTGCAAACCAAGAAACGGGGTGCTACGGAGTAGTTAACTATAGGAGGCTGTTCGAGGCGATGACAACTGACATGCATCGTGACGTCGGTTACCAAGGCAGTGACGTCATTTTGGTGTGACGTCATGCAAATATTGTACTACAGTACAAAACTCTTCCGCAACCCCTTTATGAAACCGGTTTCGGTTTGAAACCAAAATATTAACAAAAATCCGCTATTTTGTCAGTTTAATGCATGTAAGACGTGGGTAATAAATAAAATACCACACTCGGTCTCATTACATACGAATTATACGAAACTCGTGGCCTTCCTATGTTATCTGACCTCGCTTTCGCTCGGTCAGATACCACAGGAAGGACACTCGTTTCGTATAATTCGTATGTAATGAGACCTCGTGTAGTATTCTCTATATATGTATTATATTTACTTTTTAATTGATGATATTCTTGTTGATATTGTAAGTCATTAGTTTATGATTTTTTTAAATTTAGTGAGTGTTAGGTCGACTTGTGGCCTAACCAATTGCCAAGGAGGAGAAGAAAGAAGACGGGAAGGAGATATATTTTCCAGCGCAATGCCGGCAGCAGAAATGAATGGCTTAATCCTGAGCCCAAGAGGCGGAACAAGAGAAGATTTTTTGTTGTACAAATCCTCATAAAGAGGATTAAAGACACGGTTAAATGCAGGATTAGACTCGTTAGAATATAGTTTGGTAATATATTGTAATGATAGTTTTATACGGCGTTGGGTAAGAGATGGTTCATCTGCCTCGACGTAGAGACTGTCAACAGGAGATGTTCTGAATGACCCAAGACAAAGTCTCAGACCTTGGTGGTGGACATATTCTTATAGTTTTAGGTTGCTTTTGCAGGCTCCACAATAAACGATGTAACCATTATCAAGTTTGGAACGTACCAGTGATCGATATAGATGTAGGAGGGTAGCTTGATCCCCTCCCCACTTAGAATTGGAAACGACTTTCAACAAGTCAAGTGCCTTCAGGCATTTAGTTTTAAGGGATTTAATATGTGGTAGAAACGTTAAGTGTGAGTCAAAAATAATACCCAAGAACTTGGCCTCCCTCACAACGTTGATGGGTGTGCCATTTAGAGATAGTTCAGGGTCTTTATGCGGTTTGTATTTACGGCAGAAATGTATACAATTAGTTTTGGATTTAGAAAATTTAAAGCCGTCTTTCAAGACACTATTTATTTATCTTATTTAAACACAACTGCAGTTGCCGTTCAATAGTATGCATATTTTTACCACGACAAGAAATATTTAAATCATCCATAAAAAGTTATCCATCAATTGAATCACTTAAAACCTTGGATAAACTGTTGATCTTTATACTAAACAATGTTACAGACAAAATACTGCCCTGTGGGACACCCTGATCCTGATTATAATGATCAGACAGGGTAGAACCCACACGGACTTGAAATTGCCTGTCAGTTAAAAACTCGGATATAAACTGAGGCAAACGGCCTCGTAAACCAAAATCATGTAAGTCTTTTAAAATGCCGTCCTTCCATGTCGTGTCATAAGCTTTCTCTAAATCGAAAAATATTGACACTGTATGTTGCTTGTTAATAATGGCATTCTTAACGAATGACTCCAATCGAACTAAATGGTCAATGGTACTGCGGTTTTTACGAAAACCACATTGGATATTTGTGATTAAATTATTTGATTCTAAGTACCAAGTTAATCTGTTATTGACAATGCGCTCCATGGTTTTGCAAACGCAGCTAATCAAAGAAATGGGCCTATAATTTGAGGGATCCGTATGATCACGTCCAGGATTAGGTATGGGTACAACAATGGCATCACGCCAGGAGGAAGGAAATTTACGAGATGTTCAAATGTCATCATAAATATTCAGTAGTGTCTCTAAACAAGATTCCGGTAAGTGTTTCAAAAGCTGATAATGAATGTTATCAGCTCCTGTTGCAGTATCGTGGGCTTGTTCAAGAGCAGTATGAAGCTCATGAATAGAAAACATTTCATTATAATCTTCCCCATTATCCGAATGAAAATTAATTTTGTTCTTTTCCTGCTGTTTTTGGTATTTTTGAAATTTAGGAACATAGTTAGAAGAGGAAGAATGTTTTTGAAGTGTTTCACCCAGTTTGTTTGCGATATCAGATGTATCTGTGAACAATTGATCTCCAGTTTTGAGATGATGTATGCTTGATTTGGTACCCTTACCTTTAATACTCTGGATCATGTTCCATACCTTGGACATCGGCGTCTGTGAATATATTTTCGAAACATACTGATGCCAAGACTGGCGCTTGTCTTGCTTAAACGTGCGCCGTGCTTTAGCATTTAAAATTTTATATTTATTTAAGTTATGCACCATTGGGTGGCGACGGAAATAGTGTTCTGCTTTTTTTCATGCCTTCCTGGCTTGTTTGCATTCATTGTTAAACCATCGTTTACGTATATGCGGATTTGCAGATGATTTAGGAATACATGCATCGGCTATTTTGTTTAGTTCATCAGAGAATAATTGCACTGAATCAGGAACATCAAGAAAACGATCAGGATTTAAGTTATCCATACACAGTAATTCGAACAAAGGCCAGTTAGCCTTGTTGAAATTCCATCTTGATGATGGAGGAACGTCAGCTGGACTTATTGTTTGAAGAATGGTCGGGAAATGATCACTGCCACACAAGTCGCTGTGGACCGACCAGTCAAATTCATTAAGCAGACCTGTATCAGTAAGAGATAAATCTAGACAAGAGTACGTACCTGTACCAGGATGTAAGTATGTTTTTGAATTATCATTGAAGATACACAGATCGTTGTTAGAAATATAATCTTCCAATATGTTCCCATTTCTGTTTGTATCAGAACTACCCCAAAGTGGATTATGACCGTTTAAATCACCCATGATGATACATGGCTTGGGGAGCTGGTCATAGAGAGTCTGAAGATCAGTCTGCTGAAGAGAAGAAGATGGTGGCACATACAGTGAGCATAATGTGAAAACAATGTTTAGAGTCAGTCTGACAGCAACAGCTTGAAGACATGTATTTAGGGGAACAGGGCTATGTATAACACCCCGTCTAACCAAAACGGAAGAACCCCCAGTAGCTCTAGGCCCTGGAGGAGAAAAGTAGTTATATGAATTATATTGTCTTACATCAAATTGATCTGTATGTTTAAGATAGGTTTCCTGTAAACAAAATGCCGATGGTTTTCAATCTTGAATCAGTAACTGTAAATCATTATAATTGTTCCTTAGTCCTCTACAATTCCACTGAACAATATTATTTGAGCAGTTCATGGAGGCTCAATGAGAGATCGTACATTGGAGTGGGGTTTTCTCCCATGGCTAGGGAGCGAAGAATTGACCTCTATCTCCAAAGGTTCAAACTGATTTTGAACCTTTACTGAAGGTGTCTGGGAGGAAGGCACCTCCAAATGCTGGAGAGTTCTGGTCTTCTTTTTTGATTGCGTTTTCTCTTTTTTTCCAATTTTTGATATGTTTGATTGTGCTGGTGTTGATTCCGGCACAGATTCTGGTTCAGATGAATGATCCATTGAAAGTTGTGATGCTACACGTTCTGTCTGGGAAGCTGAAGAAGATATATTTGACGGAGATGGAGAGATCTGATCATCGATAATGATTTTTTCATGAACCCAAGAAAGGGATGTTTGACAGGCTGTTGAAGTCAGGGAAGGTCTGGAGGCAGTGGTACGCGAGGACACTGCATCTGAGTACAATATAGTTGAAGCAGTTGAGAGAGGAACA